AAGGTGTTGTATATAAACTACATTGTAGGAGTTGCGAAAAGTATTATGTTGTCCAAACCGGAATAAAATTAAGACCAGGATATGAGAACATTAAAAGCCTGCGAAAACCTTATGCATCATCCCTAGTTTCAATGCAGGTGAATGAAGAAGGGCACTGGTTGGATTGGGCCCAAACGGAATTCCTGGCTCGGGGCGAAACAAGAAGAGAAAGGGAGTTCCACGAAACCTGGTTCTCCACGGCGGATTTAGTCCGCATACGTTTAGATATCAACTCAGTATACTCATCACTCCGGCGAAAAGATATGGGAAGAATTTCAAGACGCCACTTGAAGCATATTAACTCTAACGACGACTTCAGTCGCAGGTAAATGGGTAAAGATCACGGGTACAAATCGAGACTGTCACTTGCAGAAAGTCACCGGCCTGTCGATCGCGGATCGGCGGTCCAATCGGCAATGTTGCAACCTGCATATCACCGCACAGTAACGAACCGTTTCACTTGTCATTTAATCATGTGCACAAGGCCTGCAACGAGTTGTCGGTGTCCTTCCGGTTGCGAATGACGTTCACCCGAATTGTATCCCTGCCACCGAAATTTATCCTGGTCTTTTGGCCTCAGGTCAACAATTTTTGTACCCATACTTTCTGCTCAGATCACTTACTTTGGTGGTGCTCTCACCTCTGGCGCTCAGACCACCTAAGTGCTAAGTACTCTGTAATCCTTCTCGCCTCTATCATTAGTGATAACAGTAGGATATTGAATTGTCAGTCATAGATCAATTATGTAGCATGCAGTTTGTTTCATGCTGCTCTGTGTGTCTGAGTTCTGACCAATGCGCTCTAAGTTATCTATCAAACCGACGGCGTTTGCCCGTCGTTAACTGCGAAGTATTACAGATCGCTGGTAGTTGCGTCAGATGAACCAAACAAAATTCCACCGCTCATTTTTTAACATACTGGCTGTTACTTCACCGAATCGTCTAATGAACTCGGACCGCGTACGCTAATTAGACCGGTTGGCATTAATTGGCTGCTAGTGACGCAAAAACTGCACGCTACCCTGAGGTCTTCAGTTGCTGACGTTGTAGTAGCTCATAAACGGGCTGACGAGCAAACACCGGGGCCAAATCACTTCAAGTCAAGTCAATTCAACCTAAGCTATATTTACTAAAATGTGTGCACTTTCAGCATTCTATATTGTCGACTGTAAATATACTGAACTGGCACCATTAAAATTGGATAGACAAAATGAGAAGGGTGCATTGTCATCACTCAATCGAGCAACGATCGCATGATGCTGCGAACTGCATATTCGAGATTTGCATCCAATCAACTGGGCGAAGTTTTATTAAAACGTTTCTTGATAATTCGTTCCAGTAGACGTAAACTTTTGTGTCCATAGATAGTTCGAGGATCGTACGCGATAACTCAACGTTTGCATCAAGATAGTCGATTAATCTAAACGACTTTAGAAATTGGTTTAACAGAAGATGTGCCCACTTATTCTTGCGGTAGATAATGTAACAAAACATTTTCGCTGAAAAAGGCAACAGCTGATTTAGAAGCTCCTCCACTTACCTTTGGTTTGCTAAGCTGCTGTCATACCTAAAGACTTAACGGTTGGGTAGCGCGTACATCTTTTCTGTGTTCATATTGCGTGTCCGCACATACAAGCCGGTGGTTATCGTATTCTTTCATCCACCTCCCATTGTGTATTCAGCCCTTGTTGTAAATGTGAGCAGTTGGTTACCTTGCAAACGATCACTGTGGTTTTGATGCAACGTTCAGCTGCTGTTGTACAAGAGCAGAGGTATAAGTTTCCGGCTACGTGATACACATATTAGGTGCAGATGTCTTGGCAAGAAAAATGTGAACTGTAATCCATTCTGAACATTGTTTGGTGTTTTCAACTCATAAAACCTTATCTCAGCAGCCCAGCACAGCACACAGGTAATATTGGTCGCTATACGCTGATTGTTAGTGTGGAACTCAGTCGATGCTACTGGAGGGCGATGATCTTATCTGACTACAAATACTGTTTAAAGTAGCACTGGAGTGTTTACCGATTGTGTGCTGCGTTTGGTGATGATGCGCCTTTAAGAACCACCGTGTTTGAGTGGTTTGCGGAATTTAAGCGTTGCAGTCGGTCCATGGATGATGAAGCACCGTGAGGTCGACCTGTGGAGGCCACCACCGCGGACAGCATTGTTGCTGTGCAATCAATGCTGGAGGAGGACGCGCGGGTGACTGTGGTATAGTTGGGGAAAGCCATCGGGATCTCATTCTACATGATAACCTCTTCTTCAGATAGTTTTATGCACTCAATCAGCTCAGCGAGGGCCAGAAAGTAGCTCAGGTGAATTGGTGCCACACCATGTTTGCCACGTTCCATGGTGGACGTTCCAATGCTGTTTGGGAGATTTTCAATGGTGATGAGATCTGAGTGTACAGTTTCGACCTAGAGGCCGAGCAACAATCGGCTCGGTGGACGGCTGTTGGTGTGGCCGTCTCAGAACTTCTGGCGTGAGCATAGTGTGGCTAATCAGATGGTGGCTATGTTCGTGGCCAAGACCGGTTATGTGGCTGTTATACCGCCCGTACGGCAACGCACAGTCACCGGAGACTGGTATGCCATCCACTATTTGACACAGCTGCTGGGTGCTGTAGCCATGCATCGTCCAAGGACTTGGGCACAAGGGACCTTGCTACACCATGACAACGCACCTGCCCACAGGTCCCATGTCGTCTAGATTTTCTGGCTAGAGAAGATATCCAGGAGGTTGGTCACGCTCCCTACAGTCCAGATATAGCTCCGTGTGACTGTTTTATGTTCCCAAATGTCTGGCGCATGATGCGTAAAATCCGCTACGAGTCTCCAGAAGCCGCAATAGAGGTCTTTATTGAGCTGCTAGAAGGGTTACTCTCTTCGGCATGGTCTAGCTGCTTCTCCAAATGGTTTGAGCGCATGGAACTGTGCATGTACGCTGACAGAGAGTATTTAGAGAAAATATAATGCTTACTTTGATGTGAAAAATGAAACTTTTTGTGCACCCAAGCACTTATTGCTCTACCCTCGTATATGGTAGATAGTGAGGTAGTTGGCCTAACCCTTCCGCGCTCTGAAACGTCTTTGGTGCTTTATCGCGACTGTTTACCCATCTTACTGACAATTACCACCACAGTGAAATCGCCATCGATTAACAGCCTGAAGCCGCACGGACTAAACGGTTATCTGGCATTCGCTCGTTGCTCTGTATCGCATCCTCCCATGCACGTTTTACATGGCGTGCTATGCCTTACTAAAAGTAGCCCTGGTGTATGGCTTCAGGACCGAAGACCAGGTGGATCCTTGGATTTCGAATTTTCTCCTGTTCACTGTTTTCAGCTACCTATTAATGTCAGGTTTTTATCATTGTGATAGAGTCAGGTAGGAAACCACGGAGGCAAGAACGGGAGAGTGCGGCGTAATAGCGGTGAAATCCGTATTTTTGCAGTGGGTGCAATACTATTCGGTTGCCTAAGCCGAAATAGGAAGTTAACTTTGGAAACACCACTTCGAGCCTTTGGCTCCACAGCCTACCCGCAATGCAGCGGAGCAAATTCGGGGCATCGCGCCTATTGGAAGCCGGTGACCGACCTCTCGGTTCATACACAATTTTTGATAATTACCAAACTGGGGCCCAAACTTCTTACAGTGATAGCATGCAGCTGTTATCATACAATGCTCTATTTGCGTGAAGCAAGGGGCAGTGACTTTATTTAGTGCCGAGTCCCATCCACGATGGCGCGGTGTTATTACACAGACATATGTGGGTTTTTATGGAGAGAACGCTTGCCAAGCAAGAATTCGCCACGTCCTAGAACACCGCTGTCGAACCATTTGCTGAAACGAGAAAAACCCAAACCACCCATTTGGGACCACGGGGAGATTGTTCGGCAGTCCAGTTAAAGACTTAAGGCCGACTCATTGTATAGGCACACGTTTCTGTTTGTTTAGTTCTTATCTCAAAACTGGACCTGCTTCGGGGGGGGGGGGCTCAGTTGACTTGAAAACCAACTTCCTCCTCCAGTTGTGAGGGATATTCACCTTCTGGAATGAGTTCCCAGATTCCTTTGGCCACTGACTGTGGGCTAGGAAAGTTGATGGGTCTCTGTTTCGGGTTGCTAGAACATCTCTGACTTGGTCTATCGAAGATCGGTGAGCTGATCTGCGGAGGTTAGTTCTGTTGTCATCGCACAGGAAGAAGAAATGAACCGCTCAGCACCGTTATTTCGCGCGTCAGGCTCCGATGGCTGGGCCACATGTTGCGCATGCCACGACGTGCGTTGTTTGCGCGACCAAGGGTGTGGATGGAAGAAGTGGTGATGTGGCCAAGTGATGAGTTGGTCCAAAGGAATGAAGGGTCTTAGCTCCAATTTGGCCTCGCTTTGACCCTCTCGACTCCCCGTTTTGGGTCCGAAGGACGATTAACACGTTTGGCTGGATCCCCTTGCTGACATGGCTAGGAGCCGACCTCAGTGGCGTTTGTGTCGTTTCTTTATCCCTCCCCCTCTAACCACAATCTCATTTTCTTGCATATTTTGCATAAGATAATTTTTTGCTGTATAGTAGCTGGCTGCTATTTTTCCGGCACCATGCCAATCCGTTACTGCTGGCTCAGCTGACATGCCTCAGTTGCAGATATTTTTTCTTCTTTTCTCATGTATTGCGGCACAATAGCTGAGATGTTCTCCACCTCTAGTTAACGTGTATAACTATAATGATGATGATGCTTCACTTCGTAAGGCACGCATGTTCGTTTGCTTGGTTATCCACTATTTTGTGTAGAGCGATGGCCGCAAATAATCTTGATCTAGCCTCTGTGTTTGATATGTTCGCCCGCTCTTTTGTCTCTCCATCCCTGCTTTCACCTCACCTGTTTGTGCAGTATTTAATTATCCATCTGAATTGTGTCGGTTTTCTCTCATCTGCGATTTATTCCTACTTTTCCTCTTCTCAGGAATCAGGTGAACGCTTGAGCAAACAGTCATTGCAGGCTTTACTCGAAACTATCGACAAGGATAGGGACGGTCGGGTTGACGTTGCCGAATTCCTTCGCGTACGTTTTCCTTTCCGTTTGCTCCCTTATTTTGCTCATCCTTATCGCGTATACTGTTCTGACGTCTTAGTTTAAAGATGCTGTTCTCCTTTGCGAGCTGATCTTTTTTACTTTCTTATCGCTTGCCTTTCCATTCGGTGTTAGTCTGTCAAAAATAGTGTTATCATTTTACTCTTACTTGCGTTTGCTTGGATTGTAGATTGTGCGTGTGACAGTTGTGTGCTTATGTGGGTCGGACGGGTTTTGCTCTCATGGCATTGCTTGCAGGGGCACCCGGTGTGTGCCGTTGTTGTTAACGATCGTCTCCCTTCACATCCGTCTGCGACTGGCATCGACGTCCTCTTCTCTGCCGTGCTAACCGCCGCCTTGACTCATTCTGGCGGCCTGTTTTGTGTACGTATGTGATCCACTTGGAATCACAAAGACGGCTGGTAGTTTATCTCACTCGAGTGGCGGCGAACCGCACGAAGAGCAGCCAAGTTGATTTAACTATTACAAGTGAACAGTAGTGGGGTTGAATGATACAAGTAGAAATTCATCACATCTAGACTCAGTCAGGCAGTTCCTTGTAATCAATACGCAGACCAAACTGGCGACTACTCTGTTCTCTGCACGTACAAGTCAGTGGAAAGTGGGCGGCGCTATATCACCTCTAGTAACTTGGTGTTTATGGTCCTTGCCGTTCTCCGTAACTCGTGATCACTACCACAGACTGGCAACAGTCGAGTTGCGGGTTCCAGTGCTGCAGAGGTCAGGTAGAATGCGCACTGCTGACAAAAGGATAGAACTGCCCTACAGGTATTTTCCGAACTTGTGGTCTTTGTCTGACCAAGTCTCATTGTGATGCATTTCTGCCAGATTTAAATATTAAAGGCAACCGACCATGATATCGTCAGTATACCATCAGTGTGTGGTGGGACAAAAGTAGATAACACTACGCCCATAATCAGGAGTATAGCATTACTAGTAATACCGGACGATAGAGGGCCAACTGCGGAAAATAATAATGCCTTTATAGAAAAACAATGCTTCGGAGCCGCAAATACATGTTTACTGACATTGGGTACAAAAACAGCATGCGTTAAGCAGCCTCTAGGAGAACGTGCGTAGAATGTTCACATTTTCGGTGATCAGAATTGACGCATATGGTTGCCGATATTTGCCACAATAACTAACTTCGTCCGCACTCTGGGTTCTTACTGCTGTTTAAAAGCATGTGGTGGACTGTCTAGTTTGAAAACTGTTACCTAGAGACCACCAGTTATTTGCACCATGATTCTCTACTCGTGAGTGTCTACCGCTGTTGATCTAAGCAATGGCGACGACGCTTGTCATGACATTGACCAATCGTTCCTTCTAAGCAGTCACCCTCCATCGCTCTCGAAGAATGCCACGGCGTCAGGAAACTGGACACCGTACCGTGCGTAGTTCAGTTTTGGTTTTCGTTATTCTAATTCAGAGCTAGTTAAGCTGTACTAGCACTTTATTTACCCGACATAGTGTCTGACCTGACTGCCGTACGGCCGCACTTTATCTCGGCTCTCGCTTCAATCGCTGTGGTCCTTTCAGTTCTCCGCACATATTCTCGCGTGTGCGCTCTTTCGAACCAGTTCCATGAGCGCTACTCAGTGCTTTCCATCTCTTGGGTCTAACTTGTATTGATCATACTGTTACTCCCGTTCTCAGTTTCGGCACATTTTTCGTCGAGTTCTGCTTATGAAGTCACATCTCTCCCGAACTTTCCGAAAATAGATTTGCTCTCATTCGGTAGAAGACGCTAGGGGCTCTCAAACGACCCTGTAACCAACCCTACAGGCGGCGGCCTAACAGTTACGAGACATTTTGCGTCGTTCACCCGCTAAACATCGCGTCTAAGACTTTTAGGGTAGCTTGCCAACGCCCAGCGTGCATCGTGTAACGCGACCCGGTCAATACACGCCGTGTGTTTGTGCGCGCATCGCTGAATCCGGTTATCTGCTCGCGGCAGAGGCATTGAGACAGTTATCTGTCTCGGCGGGCTGACTTGGACGCCGGGTCAATCAATCCAGAGTCCTGGGTAGGACTAACCATCACATATTCACTTGCCCTGCTGAGTGCAAATAACCGAGCCGCAGTGCTCCTGTGGAACGAGCAATGAGATGGTCGAAATAAGGGTTTTCTGTGGGCATTGCTCAACTTATTTTCATGCGAACTGCGGGAAATTCACCCCAAGCGAGTGTAGGCTGATCAGCAGCAAGCCTGACTCATTTTGTTTCTGTGCGAAGTGTAATACTGTCCCACTAGTTAAAACGGTAATTGCACTGTCTCAGAAGTATGAAAAGCTTACAAACGCGGTTGAGAAGATCCTGGGCTTTGCTAGGAACAAGCATCGCAGAATGTTTGCCACAGGCCCCTCCGCCTAACTCCACTGCAAGCCAACTCAACAACACCGAACGCTACACTAATAAAGTTGCACATGAAAACACTGACAATAATCCAAATCGCCAAAGCTTTCCCAAACACCTAACCCACAGCCCAATATACAACAATTTCCCCCAAACCCACTTCCTCCCACCAGATATCGCCGAAACCCAGGAAACACGCAAATTCCAGTGGCAGCTATACCGTTGTTGCATCAAAATGCACTCCAAACTCAGACGCTGCTATTTCTATAACCACACCTATAACGATGCACGGATGCACAGCAAAATACTGTGTCTCCCAACTACAGTCCACGCTCCCAAAAAACAATCAGAAACAACTGGATGCCCTATCTATAATATGTACCAACATTCTTGAGTCAGCATCGATTTCTTTGTAAGGGAAACATGTGGATGACCTGAACCATTGGAATGTCATAAGTAACCTCGGTATCCTGACTATATCCTCCAACTTCACGAAGATCACCCGCCACCCGCATTCCAAGCGTTACGGCGAAGCCAGACTTCTTCGGGTTGTGCTAGACTCTGTCGATGAGGTGGAAGCAACGTTGCTTTCGACTGCTCGTCTTCAGAACGAAATCGGTTTGGTCCGCATCTTTCCAAACGTTCCTTGGGGCGAGCGAGGCAGAGCTTAGAAGAGTTCCGGCTAAACGCCGCAGCCAGAACCGTTTTTGTCCACGGCGTCCCCCAGTCTCATGAGCACGATGAATGCGAAGCAAAGGCACACGACCATGAGCCGTGGCACTATATTCGTGAGACCCTGCTCTTGAATGACGTTGTAGCTACTTCGTCCTCGAGACTGCCAAGATCAGAAGCTACAAAGGGTGCGGCCCAATGATAATTAATGTTGTATTACAAGCTAGGCAGATGGCATACACTTCGGTGCGGACTGCCAACCGAGCTCCGGTTCAAAGGGGCGAGTGAAGCTGTCGTCGACTTAAAGCACCGCCACAGCAGGCAAACAAAGTAGTGAGTTTGTCCGAAATTCACACCGGAAACAGGTCTGAAGGAACTGAGTATCTTCCTGTGCCATCCTGTAGCCACTCCCTATGCATTGTGCGAACTGCGTTGTCAGAGGGTCTAATCACGATGACTCACTGATAATACCGCAGAAAACAGCTAGCGGCCAATCATACAACGGTCGGCACAACTTCGCATCCAACCACAATTGTCTCGGATCGTTGCCGAGAACCGAAACACTTTCCTGCATGTACACAACTGCCCAAGTCCTCCTTAGCAATATCGCCGAGCTTCGGTTGCGCCGGGCAACAGACGCTTGGGATCTCATCTCCATAACCGAGCCTTGGTTACACTCAGGGGTTACGAATGCCGAGATCGCGATTTAGGGGATGTCCTTGTTCCAACACGATCGTCCCAGCAGGGGAGGTGGTGCTATTCTATACTATCGTAACGACTTACAATGCGAACCACTGGATGATCGGGAGACGCGGGTCACCGATTCGCAATGGTGCCGTTTGTGTCTCAGACACAACGACAACTACTTCGTGGCAGTCGTATATCGCCCCCCTCGTCCACTCCATAGATGGATTCCCACCTAATATCGTCACTGACGAAATGCTTACTCCCACCTTACAACCACGTTCTTGTCTCCGACGATTTCAGCGTGCACGACTTGGAAACCTTGGAATCCCCCAGCGAAACATACAAGGCCGAACTGCAAGACCCTATCGCAACTATACTGCTCTATAATCACATCACCTCACCTATCAGGTACAAGACTGATAACAAACCATCGGTGCTTGATCTCTTACTTACAGATAAGGAATTCAGTCGACAAGCCATTTATAGGCACCCCACTAGGGCTTAGCGATCATGTCACCATACTTTATAACTATGTGTGTTACGCTGGATATCCGGAGGAACACACAGAACTAACACGTACTGTCACACATTACAACATCCTGAACAACCTAGTTGAGACCATCGATTGGGAATTCTTGAAAGGTGGCTCTCCTGACAGCATCTGGATTCCGTTTTTATGGACACTTTAGCAATCTAACCGTAACAGCTTCAGAAACGAAGAGAGTTCGTTACAGCAATCCGTTTTTCATCAGAAGTGGAACCCGCAAGCGTATGTCAATAAGGAATGCAGCTTCGCACACTTACAGAGCTCGTCCTAGTCACGAAAGCTAGATCGATTACGTGACCATGCGCAACCATTGTAACATGCTTGTCTGTGTGGACAAATCCACTCACCAATAACATTTGGTCTGTAACTGCCAGCAACAAAAGCTCCCATGCAAGCATGTTAGCACCATCCGGAAAGTGAAGCTCGGTATCTCTCCACTTAACACGGCAGTCGGAGTGGCACTGAGTGCTGAAGAGGCAGCCAAAGTCCTACGAATGCATGGTTCCTCAACCTTCCAACGAAAACTCTGCCCCTGTCACACATATCCCTAGCCCCAACTTCAACACACACTAACATCGATATTAATCTCACAGCTGTGTTGAAGAAACTGCTCTCACTGCCCACCTACAATTCTCCCAGATTCGGTTATATTCACTCATGGGCGCTGAACGGAGCAGCAACAACGCTGGTCGAGGCATTATCACATTTCTTCCACACTTGCTTGGATAAGCAAATTGTGCCTACCATGTGAAAACATGGCTTAATCACTCTAATTTTCAAAAGCTGTAATCGCTCGGAACCCGCCAACTATCACCCAGTGGTCCTCCTCCCTGTGCTCTCAAAGGTGATGGCGCAGTCATCGCTGAGGTTTTAGTAGACCATCTAGAACGCCACAGCATCCGAACAATACGGTTTCCGCCAGCACTACCAACCTACTGCTTGCACGCAGTAGTTGGACGGAAGCGGCCGATACAGACAGTAGGATAGAGGTCATTTACCTCGACTTCTCCAAAGCCTTCGACCGACTGGACCACCGCATTCTGCTTCACAGCCTTGAAAGCTATGGAGTTGATGCTTCTGTCCTTGGGTGGATCAAGAATTTCCTGCATGATCGGCAAATGCAGGTCAGAGTTCGATGTGCGCTGTTTGATCCGATTCATGTCGAATGTGGAGTTCTGGTGCCCTGTCTGTTTCTCATGTTCATTAACCAGCTTACGCGTTGGATTGTCTCGGATTTCTTGCTTTTCTCTGACGATCTTAAGATGTAACGGACGATCGCCAATCCAGCAGATCACGATGCACCTCAGCGAGACGTGGACAGAGCGTACGGGTGGTCACTCCACAATCTGCTCCAGTTCAATTCGGGAAAGTGCAATGTGGTTCACATTCACCAAGAGCCGAACATCACATACAAGAGTGGAGACCATGTTCTGCAAGCAGTCCCCCAGGAGCGCGCACTTGGGGGACTAGTTCAGCCTGATCTGATTTGCTCAGAACAATCTGGCTGGTCACCTGGTTATCTATCCAATACCGCATGGGCTCTTACGGCGCTGTGTCAAAGCCAAGTTGGCCGGCTCCAGCGTCACTAACCACTCACTTCTGTAACCAGAGGTGAGTATATAACGGAGAGCGGATGAACAACCTTTTTGGCCACCGGCTTCTCTGTGGACTGCTACTGAACACAAAGAAGGCGAATGAGCTACCCGGATGTCAGCGGTCTTCGTTAATCACCCAGGTGCCTTGCGGGTCAGGTCTTTATGATCAAAGACTCAGGATGGGGACCTTTAAGCCAACCCTCTTCCTCGGCCTGGGCAACCGGGAAGACCTCTGCCAAAAAAACACATAAACCTTGTAAATCTTCCAAACCCTTCCACTGGTTACCCGTTTTCCCTATTTGGTTGTTGTTAACTGTGCGTTGTGGCACTGCCAAGTATATTTTGATCAAATGTTGAATAATATAATACATATTTATCCGCATGTACTATTTCTTTTGATTATTTATCCCATTCCTTGGTGGGTGTGGGTGTGTGTGTTAAAGCTGAATATTCACCCTTCATGGGTACATAAGGCACATTCTTGACTTGACTTGAAGTCTACATATTCAACTTCAAAAGTTAGCTGTCATTTGACCGATTGCAAACTGAAATTTCGGAGTGAATTTTTTTCGTCGTCATCGGAAACATCTACATAGCCCTCGACACACCACCGACTGAGCTGAGAAATTTTGCGAATTATTTCTCACCAGCGTCGCTGCCTAAAATGGAGTGCTCTGTCTGTCTTGTTGCCGGTAACTATAACAAAAGTGATACGTCCTTCATCAAGACACTTGCTCTAAAAAACACGGTATCTTTTGAAATCAGACTTGGTGCGCAGTTGGATTATGTTTTGGCAAATAAAACTCACTTCTACTTTAATGCGGCTCCTCCTGGCATTTCAAAGCACTGTGTCCTGATGATAAGCCAAATTATTCACAGCAAGACCAACATTGTGACTGAAAAATGACCTTCAAAACCACCAAATGGTGATGCCGCTCAGCGGAAAATATCTCGAGACTCATGTGACCCTGGCTTTAACTAACTTCGTTTTCACGGACGAAAACCTATTGCTTGTGTATGAACACCTTATTGGATATATTAACTTTGCTTTGATACATACTGCTTCGTTGAAAGTATCTACCAACGCATAGACAGATCCTATTGGCCGCCACTGAAACAGTTTAGACGAAAGTAAGAACAGGCATATAAATTCAAATTACCTGTGCAAGTTAAACGAATAACCTCGACAATAAAATCAGAGGTTATGTGACTGAATCTTTCATACTTTGAAATCGTGTTAGGTAATCAGGATTGTTGCGAACTTTGGGTGTTTCTAAAGCAGCTATGTGGTGAAAGTTCCTCTGTAGCGTCTTGATAATGTGGATTTGGTCAGACTCAATGCCGAGTTGTGTTCTTCCCCCCTGGGTATGCGTTTCCTGCCTTTCTTCACCAACACACGTCCCACAGTCACCGTTGATCACTTGGATGTTTACAAGGAACACGAAAATATTGAATATTACTAAGGTTGCTGGACCTTATGCTGCTTTGTCCCCGCTCGTCCTATAACTGCGCAGATTATCTCGCGGTACCCTTAACCGCTCTGTTCACCCACCGTCTTGTAAATGGCACAATCCCTGACATTTAGACACCCGTAAGGATAACGCCTGTGCCCAAGCAGGGGTCTCACAGATGTCGCCCGATTGCATGTGCTTCGATGATGTTGGGAGTCTTCGTGAAAATGCTTTTCCTTGAGATCGTCACACGCACCCAAACAGAGGTTGTGAACCAGTTTGCCTGTAAACCCAACCGTTCCACACTAGTTGCTGTGTCGTATCTTGTAAATCCGGCTGCACTGGATGAAATATGCAGAGAAGTGCAGCTGCTGTTTTTTGGTTGTTCAAATGCTTTCGAGAGTGTCACCAGACCAATCCTGCTCAACCAACTGCTCACAAGTGGGATTTCTACAAATGTCTGCAGCGTGGATGCATACCACTTTACAAACCGTATCCACTTCACCCAGCTGGACGGAACAAAGTCTTCCGCACTTTGCTCTGATCGTAGTGTATTACAAAGAGCAATTCTCTCTTCGTTACTGTTTCATTTATATATCAAAAACCTCCCTATACCGTCCAAATTTATTGGTTGCAACTATGCAGATGATGTCGTTATATTATGTATACATACAGTTGTTGAAACATGTACTCTTCAGAATGGCTGGATGACTTTGTGCTGTGGTCATCGTTCTGCTCTCATTCTAAATTTTTCTAAATACCGTGATGTAACGTTCCCTTTTCTCCGGGCTGATAAGCTGCAACTTGTTCGGATGTTACTTCTTCACTGGCAGTTTGTGATCAACTCATACCTTGAACATCAACTGTCGGATATCTTGGGGTATTTTTTTATCCCGAAATCTATATTGGTTTACCCATGTCGCCCAAACGTTTTACAAAGTTAGATCGCTATCCGTTTTATGCCCTCAGACCCGAAATGCTTTCGATATCTCGAGATTTGATTTTAAATTTATGACTGCTTGCATTCTGCTTTGCTGCCTCCTAATAATTTTTCATGGGCTACTCACAAAAGATTACACATTGTTCTTGCGTCCATCAAAACTTATTTCCATATGCAATGGACTATCTAGTGAGGCATTTTATTATTATTATTATTATTTGTACTAGCTTCTCCTACAAAGTCCTAAACGACCCTTTCCGCCCGTTACGTCATGTGCCATCGAAAGTGCTACCTGTTTCTTCTGCACGCTCTAAATTTAGAGTCTTATTTTGCCATACTGCATCTTATCACAATTATATCCTACCGTACTTGTCACGATTACTTGTCGACCCAACGAAGCTCATCAGTATGATACGCAGTTGTTTGCTTGAGTGATACGCCAACGCATTTTGCAGCGGACACGTTATTTATCTTACTCCATCACTTTCATGTTCTGCATTCGCAGTGCTAGTGTACAATGCTAAAAATTTATCTACCCAGTTGCATAACGTCTATTTTGACCTGAATTCCTTGCCCACGCGCCTGTTGCCTGACAAGGAATAGTGCTGATTGACTTCTAGACCACAGGTGGATCAACCCTTTTTCCTGTTGTCACTGATCTTATCCACTGATGTACTTTATCGAGGATTCCACACAGCGGTTCCCAATCACAGTCTTCCGCCCGTTCGGAACTGTACTAGACGTCCGGTTTTGTCATATTAGGGTTTGTCAATACTGGCCCCCTTGGAAACCATGACTTCGTGTGGTTCGTAACAAACATAGCTGCAGAGGATGAGTCGCACTATATCTCCGTTAGCCAGTAATTCATGGCGGGGTGCCACTGTAACTCATGGCTTGATTTTATGCTCCGCTGGTGGTCATGGTTTCGGTTTCTGATGATGCCGTGGAATGTACACTGTTCGTGAGTCCAAATATGACGAAACCGCTGTGCACTGTTTTTTCGGATGTATGAAAGGATGTGAGTGAACTGCAGTAAGTCATCTGCTGAAAGTTCATATCGGCGAGCTATCCTCCCCCATTGATCAGGAACATAAACTGCTGGCTAGTGATACAAGCCACAAATGTCATTGGTTCGGCTCTCTGGAGGCGACCTAGCAAATGCGCACCACGAACAAGCCCAAATAGGGCGATAAAATGGTCTGGTGCTTTTCCGGATTGGTAGTCGACCCATCTGGCTTGTAATCTAATCGTGTTGAACCAAATAAGTCTATCTAACTGAGTAGAGAGTTTCGGAGCTGCCTTTTCCCAACTCTCTTTATTCATAAGTAATCTACAGAAAATCTTCTCTTGACTTCAGTGTGTGCTCTTTTGTTCTGACGTTACACATCTGTTTCTTGCTGAAACTTCTGTATATCTAAATTCACAGAGGCAGTCTGTATCACATGTCTAAAGAATTTCACATAGCTTCCACATGCCCTTGTTTTTATAATATCCCTCTTTTTATACGATCCTCTTCCTCCACCTATTCTCATTCAATAGTTTATGTCCGCCCTCAAATCCGGTACTGTGGCTCACAGTCCACTGAAGCGGGTTCTAACCGGTTCAGTCATCCCTGTTCATCGGAGTGGCGGCGGTGTTTAGGCAGTTTGATGCCTACTGCAACGCCGCATTAATGCCTGACGCACGGGACTCAACCTCAGGAGTAATCGCAGACTCTCTCAGTTCCTTATCCAAGAGGTACCACGAACATATCCTGTATTCTCGTGATCACGCAGCGGCTTCTTTGTCTGAAGCAACTCCTTTATTTCCCTCCTCCCCCCACTTAGATACAATAGCGAAATCTTTCTCTTACCAAGATATCACTCACTGGGCACTTGACCCAATCAGCGACCGATCTATCTTCTGAGGCATAATCGCTCCTACCTCACTACTATCTTTTTCTCTTATCCTTACGTAGATCACATTGTATCTGTTCGATTAACTCATTCTTGACATCTTCCTATCGTTGTTTGTGTTTTCCTGAACAGCCGCTCACTTGAGCCATTTTTTGCATGCGCTCGACTCAGGATGTGCAACTTACCGTTTTCTAGTGACCTTGGTTCGTGTCTTCTGATCCCACCTCAATTTTGCCCCATGTTTCCACTGGATTTTTCTCAGTGCCATGTGTCCTTGTCATCTTCGGTCACCTAGGCGATTGTGTTGTTTTATCTGCATTGCCCTTGTCTCCTCGCAGCTTTAATTCCTCCCATAGAGTTGTCTACTATTGGCATGTACTTTATTGATTTCCATCACAGTGCATTGTATGGATCCCACTGTCTCTACGCTATCCCAGATGTGAAGGATTAGGCAGAGCTCCTAAGCCTGGGACAACAAATCTTCCCAACGTTCTAGATTTGCCAACCATTTCTTTCGAATTCACATCACATTGTATTGAGATTAGATCCGGTCTGTCTCTTTCGTGTGGTAATCACCTTTCCTCGAACAGCATGCGGGTATGATTGTGCCCCAGATATCGAACAGAAAATGTTTTCTCATCATCTGGGTTCGTTGTTTATGACGCGCTAGTTGATGCGAATTGTGATGGGGTATGTAGATTCCGCGAGCAACTGACAGGTGCATTATCTGCACCTAATGACCACTCACATTTGTATATTTGTACACTTAGTGGATCACTATTACCAAGCACACACAAGGTGGTGGCCGAGTCGTTACCCGCTCCACGCTGAAATCACTGTCTCGGGATGCTCACCCCGTCCGTCCCACCAACAAATACTGGCCTCCTTAGTTGTCCACTACGTACAGATTTGGTGTCAGCCACAGCAGCAAGGTAACGCGTGTTCATGCTCACAGGAATAGCCCAACTACGGAAACAGTACATCACATGTGTCACGTCAACCACAGTATCGACACGGGTTACTGCATAAGTCCCGAGGACAGCTTCCTCTCAACGCGTTTGTACTTACCCATTTCACCTATTTCACACAAGTTCCTTGTGACTATGTCGACAACCTACCAGTTGGCAGCATACACTGCCATACTAGAGGGACGATGACGACGAGCTATCATAGGTTCGCCTACGCCCTACTCTGCTCATCAGGTGTTGGGGCTTCCGATGCGACGACAATACAAATGTGATCGCATCATCTCCGACGATCAACTACCAATAGATTCTGATGCTTGTATTCGACATTAGATCGTGACAGAATTGTCCTAATCATGTCCTGATGACATAGACACTGTTCTTCATCTCATTTGTCTACACGTAGTTACCCACACAGCAGATGCTTTGATATTCTTGTCGCATCTGTTTGGCGGACATGACCGAGTTACCTAATGTACCGCGACGGCAACATACAAGCCATCCCGCATATACCATTGTAGTGAATCCGCTCGGTGCTAGTCAGCCTGCTCCACTAACGGAAGCGCAAACCCTATCACGAGCCGAATTGTTCCTGACAATGTATCCCATGTTCCACTATCATGCGAGAAAAGCCACCGTACTCTCGGACACCATGAACTCGTGACAGTGACCAGATGGTGTTTAAGGCTAACAGGAAGCTGTACTCACTGTTGTTAGTGGCATGCACGCCTCACAAGCTATTCGAGAATGCATTGGCCTTGCTTATCAGGGAGAGCAGAAAGTTAGCTTGTTATCTAATGCCACCTTGCAATTGCCCTGTTCCCAGTGAGGCCTGAAACTGGCGCTTAGCTTCCCTTCGCTGCGTGAGCACAATGCCTTGAAACGGCTGGGTTCAGTAGCCCATTATCTATGTGGTGTTCATAGTGGGTATTGTCTCTGTCTGTGTCAAATGCACAAGGCAACCTGATAGTGTGGTAGTGTCTGCTTTCACCCAACGTGAAAACAAATTCACTGTGATTATCGAAAGGCTTACGTGACTACCTTTTACTGGTGGTTTTCTGTCAACTTGCCATCTATTATGGCGGGGTCTCTGTCGATAATGAGCACGAAAGAAATGTGGAGGATCTAAAGTAAGGCACATATTCTCGAAACAAACGTTTAGCACCAAAGCGAAGACATTGTCAACAACTCACGGTCGCATACGACTGGTGATTGTTTGAACACTGGGTGGCATCAATGAACTAGCTTCATTTGACTTTCATTCTTAGTTTTGCCTCATCTGTAATTCTACACCACGCGTAATGTGATCACGTCGCTGACGACGGTCGTGCGCCACATCCTTCTGTGCCCTTATACAATACACAGTGCGTCCTATGGATCCCGGTCTGGAATGCGATCTGGGATAACAACCCCCCAGTTTAGTCGTCTCTGTGTTTACTTTCATTGTCAGAACGTTCCCGGTCAACTTATGAACGGTTATACAAAGGACCATTTAGGTAATTATGCCACCCTTGTTGTCTTCCAATCGATTGTACTCAAGTAATACCCGTCAGACCATCAACCAGAGTTATCATTGGTTGTACAATGAGACAGTCATGACCTCCTTATGCTGATAATTTCTCGCGTAGCTTGGTATCAGTTTCGCCTGCTCCGCTCCCACCGGAATAAAATGCCTACGTATATTACGAAACCCCCGTTCTCCGTATTTCCCTAGTCACTTTCATGTGAGGCAAATGCTGGGTTCCTCAGTATCAGCGCAAAATTGATGACATTGTTGTCGAATCAGTTGAGCTATCTACTACTACTTGTCCCATTCGCAACGATAGTCGCTTTGTCACGTCATCTCCCATGGAGCCTTTGACTGTGCCAATGAAGTTGATAGTCTAGACGTGTCGACACTATTTACTTCAGCTACTGCCACTTCTCAGCATTTGCCGACTGCGGATACTAAACCTCTGTCAGTTAACAGCATCAACTCCATCCGCGGTAACACAACCTTAGCCGTAAATGTGGCGATGCGGAGCGAATGTGTAATTTCGAAACGATCGCGCATTACTTCACTGAACAAAATCATAATGTGTTCTTCTGGGCAAAATTGGTCTTATTATCCTCGCCCGTTTTCTGTCGTCTTGGTAATTAATTTTCTTGCTCCAGTAATTCATTTTTGGTTAGATAAGCCTGCCTTTCGTTTCTTTTCGCTGCTCGGGCATTCGTCATCTGTCGCGTTACATTATACATGGATTCCGGGAGACACTAGCTGGCTTTACACCTCTTTTTTGTACCACAAATTGTGCTCTGTTTTGACTGTGGATTCATTTTCCACCTTTCCGTTACTTGTATCACCAGTCAATTCGAGGTGATGGTGATGATTTCCAGTAGTGTTGTTGGACCAAGTATGTTGGTATTCTGAGTACCGTGAGCCCAACCAGTTAGTCCTTTACGCGGGGTAGCCGCTAGAATGGTATTGAGTGTGAAGCGGAGGTACGACAGCCCCATTCCAACTAGAGGATCGTTTTTATTGATCAAATTTCGGTTGCTATTTTCTTTTAGGGGAACGAGTTATTCCCATATAGTCCCCGAACGACTAGGAGACAACCATGGAAACAGGAAATGTACAACCGGGGTCGTCACATTCAGACTTGCTTATTTATCTTTGTCGTGTGCCTTCCTAATGTGCTGTGATAGTTTCCGGTGGCACGTTCAAGTCGATGGAGTTTTACTATCCCCCGTGATTTCTCCAAGTGGTCGCGCCGTTGCTAAACAGCGCGAACTGAGTGCTAACACTAGAGTAGCACACGTACAGTCAAACCCCATAATTCCTGCTTCGACAAGACCAGTATTTCTGATTACATCTGTATTATAGCGAGGTGTAAATGTGATCTTTCGTATCATCTGAATAGCGTACGGTGGAACACTACGTTCTACCGTGTGTTGTAGAATTGCTGTTTCCGTGGCATGGGTCAAGTTGCCTCGTCATATTGCTCGGTAGTTCAACCAGATGACCATCCAAACGACTCTATAGGACAGCATTGATGCTGTTCACCTGGTGCTCCGGTCGCATTTACAGCCTAGTAGACAACGTCCCCGGCGCATCTCATCTTATCGTACCATCCGGGTCTCGGAGTATCAACACCCTAGTCATCGAGTCCCATAATATCCAGTGGATGGTGTCGCGCTGAACGTCGCATTTAACCCGATCCATCGATGTGTATACCTACTGGTTTGCAATATCAAGAAGGTATACTGTAAAGCACGTGAACCGATGTTTTTGCTTCTCCATCCCTGGTTCGTAGCAGATATAGAGGTCCTGCTAGGTAGACTGCATATGCGACTTGAAATTGATCTTACCTGTCTGGTTCATTATTTATTTTTTAACTATTATGCCGCCAAGACACCCATAGCGAAACAAAACGAGTTTAAACTTCACTCACAGCCTTCGACACAATGTATTCCAAAGCGACAGTAGGAACCGATCAACACACGCTATCGTGACTCAGCTGGCACCTAGAGACGTCCGTGCCGTGTTCAATTCGACAGCTAATCCATTGCAGCGGGGAGCCATAGATCTACCGCGAATTAGTGCCCATCGAACCCACGAGCCATTGACTTCCACCGCAGTGCCTAAGCGGCTCTTGTGTTCGAGCGCGTGAAGAAAGTGACTAACATGCTCCAGGATACTGTAGCGATTAATGAACTGTTTAGTCTCTGGGATGTTTGTAATTACCGTGCAGCCGTGTTTTCCGTCTTAACTTGCCACTGCCGGCGGACAGACGCGTCACTTGCATACCGTTCACCATCAGTAGATTCTGTGTCCATGTGTTTTCCAATGAACTGTTATGCTGTCTCTCTCTCAGTAGAGCGCGCATTCATCGATGTGTCCTGTCACTATACTGACCGTATTTTCCCTTTAACTACTTTTTCTTTGACATTAGATCTTTTGTGCAAACATAAGTGAAATTAACCGGTGGCTTGTCATGACAGTTTCCAAGTCAGATAACTTCCAACTCGCTCGGAAAAGCAATAGACGGCTGTTCCTAATTGACCTGATAATGGATGATGAGCTACGCTATACCGCAATTCGGTTATAAGTCATGGCGGTCCGCCACCATCCCCCAAAGCTCAGTAGGCTACTGGTCGTCTGTTCGAATCATGATGGTGGCGAGGAATGGTGAGTCTCGATAGGACGTAACAGTTGTCTAGTACTTCTCTCATGTGTGTCCACGTTGTTTTCTACCTCTGAAGCGCTACAGTGGTTCCGTCTTGGGTGGAACGCAACTATTTCTTTGATATCAAAACAACTCCGTGCGCACACCTACTAAACCAACATTTGCTGAGCGGCAATTCGAGATATCTAAGAATGAGGTAGGAAGAGTTGAGCGTTTATCATTGCTAAAATCTGATCTCACTTGCAAAACACTGGCCGAGGTACTATGGGTTCGATTAATTTCGGACCACACTGTCTAGGTAGACTCGAAGAACTAATAACGGGTAGATTCCTGTGTATTTCTACTTTGTAGCTAAGGGACTGTGTGCAGTAGCGCATTCAGGCTAGTATCCTCTGTTGGATTGTAAGAGGAAGGTAGAAACGCATTTGAAAAGGATAGGTGTCGTATAAGGTTGTCCAACTCAACAACCACCTAATGACACTGTTTATCCAGATTCAATCAGACTGTC